CCCTTCCCCTTCCTAAGGGATGGGGTACTAGCATTACACCAGAAGGAAGGCCAGGCTTCACATGTCCCCTGTCTGCAATACTGACACCATTGCTTGCTCCTTGACCCCTAAACTGCATCTCTTAAACTCTGTGCTGCTGCTTTCTTTTCTCACTGGAGAGCACTCGTGTGTCCACATCCGAGGCACTCTGAGGATAGGATGAGTCTTTTTTCCACCAGTCCAATGCAACAATCCTTACAGGTCTGGTCAACATTTTCCTTGCTTCAGTGTAAGGGGAGCATAAAGGGAGCAAGATACAGACTTCATGGCTAATATCTGCACTGGAGACTTCGGAGCTGGGAGAGACTGAATGTCTGTTTCTTCAAGTGAATGTATTTTGAGTCAAAAAATGACAGAAAGAATAGTGGCCATAATTGGGCCTGCAGGGGGAAAAGACACGGGAAGGTCCTAAGATTCGACTTTGTCCAGGTTTTGAAGGGACAAAATATGGCCTTGAACAACCTTTTGAAGCAATAGCAGTGAGGGGACTGCCACCTATACAGTACCTTGGATACATAACTCAGAAGTTGCTGAAACAGCTGGGAAAGGTGACTTGGTGCCTTCCCCCAGGCTGGTACCGGCTGCAAGACGGAGCAGCAAAGATGGCTTTTTTTTAGATCCGCTGGTGCGCTTTCTATGTGTTCATTTTCTACTTGGGGGCTGCGAGGGAAGGAGCTGCTGGACTGCTTCCCTCTGAACTTTCACTCTGTTCCTGTATATTCCTTTTTCTTTCCCGATGTTGTAATTTACATTTTACATAGAGCTGCATCCCACCTCTTTGACAGTTCAGAAGAACCAACCAAACCAACAAACCCAACCCCAACAAACCCAACCAAATTGAAAGTAGAACCATGCCATTTGAGCAGGGAGCCTGGTGGCATTCAAACTCCTGCAGACCTATTTTTGAGATGTGAAAAATTTAAATAAAAGCCGAGTCCTAGGCGAGTGAGGAGCATAACGGATGTAAACATTTACATGGGATGCATTAGACTTCTGCTGTGTGTATTGTCTTTTGGTTGAAACAAATTATGAAGTGACTAATAAAATGAGTCAATATTCAATGATTTAAAACTGTGCCTTGTTGCTTTTTGCAAGTAGAGTGGGATAGTACTTACTGGTTCTTAATGTTTGGCCGTAACAAGGTCGGGTGATGCAAGGTAGTCACTAAGGGCAGAATTTGAAAAAGTTCCCCGGCAATTTTGGAGAGCAAAATGAGTAGGCAATTACCAAACACTTAAGTGCTTCATGTGCAATGCTGCCCTCAAAGAGCTGGTCAGCTGCTAGCAGCAGTGCTTGTCCTGGCGCTAGAAAGGGGCGATGAGATCTGAACAACAGGATTTTTTTCCCCTGGTGTTTGCAGCCCGCCCGTGGAGTTGGTTATGACTCCCTTGCTGATTAAAAAGCTGTGTTCCATACTCTGCCTGCCTCTGGGCCAAGGACTGTTGTACTCTCAATGTCCGTTACAGCAGTACACGTGCCCACTGCAAGGTTCTTCCTTGCGTTTTCTGGTCACATTAGCATTTTATTAGTTAACTTTTCATGTGTTTTCTCTCTGCAAAGTACAGTCTCCTCAGTATTGCCATGTGGCCTCCCTTTATGGACATTCTCTTGAGGCAAAGTGGTTACAGAACTACGAAGCTGTAGCTAGAGATGCATTGTAACCGTGCCTTTATGGAAAACCCAATGAAAATTAAACTCTTCTCAGGTTGCGTGTATAGTCTGGAAGTGTGAAGAACTAGGTGGCCTTTCCTGTGACTGCCATGGTTTAATGACATGAGTTAACTCAAAGTCCCAGGGAGCACTTTTAACCTTGATGATAAGGTGGGTTGGTTCCTTGTTTTTAAATAGGAGAGCCTGCCAGATAACGAAGAATTCCGAAACGGGATCGGAAACTGCCAGTTTGCGTGGCAGCAAGCGGTCAGTCATCTTGAGTCCTGGTTCTGGAGCGGGACAGGCCACTGGGAAGCTCTTCTTTCACAGCCCTCCTGTGCGTGGGGCCTGAGCCTGGGGAGCGCAGCGCGGACAATGCTGTCTACATCGCCTGTGCCCAGGGGGCAGATCCATGAGCCTGTGTAGCAAAATGCTGGGATAGACCAGGGAGAAGGCAGGAAACGTTTAAAGGAAACATGTAATAGAACTGAAAGTGTTCGGCACAGTAATAATACCGATGCTGAGAATTTGGAAAGCATGTCTGGACAACCACGAATTAGCGTAGCAAGAACGAAACGTGAAGGCGACAGGCTGAAGTGTGTTAAAAGTTTGGAACCATTGGCGATGAGGGGGAAGGGGGGCAGGCTGTTGTTTCGTTTTTGATGTGCTTGATCCTGTTCAGGCGTGAACGGTAGCTGTCTTAAAGCATCAGTGAGATTCTGGTGAACTGCACAGTGATGATGGTGACGATTAGCAGGCAGTAGTGAAGCCTGCCTGGGCTAACACGATGGACCTGCACAGCGCTGGGAGGAAGGTGATGTTCAGATACTCGATGGACCTGCACAGCGCTGGGAGGAAGGTGATCAGATACTCGATGGACCTGCACAGCGCTGGGAGGAAGGTGATGTTCAGATACTCGATGGACCATGTTCAGATACTCGGCTGTGCAACCTCAGCCTGGGGAGGCCGATGGGAACGGGCGCTCTGGAGGCAAGCGGAGGAGGCGCTGCGGTGCGACAGGCACACAGGTAAGCGTTTGTTCTTTCCCCACCTGGGCAGTAAGCAGGTTCTACCTCACCCTTCTGAGGAAGTACTTGCACTGATGAAACGACGGAAGGGGCTGCTCGGGGGCCGCCGGCGCC